CGACTGAAAAGAAAGGAATCCAGTTGTTGCAGTTCTTGGAGTATGAAGTATGAGAGCCATCCAGTGGTCAAAGTGGTGTACAGACTTGCTGCTGAGCACCCGAGAAATAGTGCTTCTGCTCTTTATTACCATCTGAAAAAATTCAACCAACCAACCAAACAAACAATAAACCAAGAGGGGGCTGGAGCGATAGCACAGTGGGTAGGGCGTTTGCCTTGCACGTGGCCGACCTGGGTTCGATTCTCAGCATCCCATATGGTCCCCTGAGCACAGTCAGGAGTAATTCCTGAGTTCAGAGCCAGGAGTAACCCCTGTGAATTGCCAGGTCTGACCCCAAAAGCAAAAACAAACAAACAAACAACAACAACAACAAAACCCCAAGAGGATAACAGCATTTAACCAAAGAACCCGCTTTCTTTTTTTATTTTTATTTTATAAAGTAGTTCACAATATTTGATTACATTTAATATTGAAACACCAATCCCACCAACATTACAGTTTCCCACCACCATATTTCGGATGTTTTCCATCCTGGCCCAAAGCAGAACCGAAATAATATATTTTGTATTGTTTGTTATGAAAAACTGCTGAAGATGCTACAAAAAATGTTTTCTTAGAGGAAAGAGTGTGAAGATTGTTGTATTTCACCGAAGGGCCATTAAGCCCTTATATAAGAGATCACTAACAAGTTGCTAAAGGTTGAGCCTTGTATGCACATATATACATGTATATATGTGTGTGTGTGTGTCTATCTGTAAAAAAAAAACATATTTCCCTTTAAGATTGGTTGCCTTCTACTTTGAACCCCATCAAATGTGGTGCAGTACTCTAGGAGTATGTGTAGCGTGTGTGGTGTGAAGAATCAGATGGCCTCAAATGACGGTTCAGGAATGGGATCACTCATGGGTGATGTTCGCTAGAACTTTTGGAGAGCGGCATGGTGGTGGTTGAGTTCTGGAGGTTTTTAGCTGCCAGTGCTGGGTCCCTTGGGGGCAGGGCGGGGTCTTACCTGCCCCCCTTCTGGGGCGTCCAGAATGAAACAGTCCGGTGCAGAGAACCTGCTTTCTAAGTCCACTTACTCTAACTCACTTTTCCTGCTTAATTTTTTTTATGGGTAATGTTTACATTCACGTTTAAAATTTTGTGTGGGTGGGGGTCTGCATATAGTATATCTGCACATTCTCTCAGTGCTTCTCATTTGGGTCAATTTTAATCCTGAAGATGAACCACAAATCACTTGCAAATGAAAAGTAGCAGTTGAGCTCCTTTTAAAAGCATAGAGAACATAGGTGGACTAAGATATTTGGTTAAGAGGGGTTGAATGAGAATCTACTGTAAAATTTTTAAAGTTAAAATCAGTTCTTCAGGACAGAATCTCCCCACTCCCCCACCCCCATAAATCCCTCTTTGATACAAAGACTGACAATTCAATATGGAGGCACTATAACTATAACACAGCTATAACTACAAAGTAGAGAATGAAGACTGAAAGAAAGCAGCTGCACTGTGGACAACTTGGAATGTTAGGTTGGGAGCTTTAACCATGGATAACCTGATGGAAGCATTGGGTTGTCTAGACAACTGGCATCTGAGTATAAAATTGCATGATGTAGGAAGAAACTAAAAACTAAAGACCAAATATCCCCATAGTAGGATAGTGGTGTGTGTGTGTGCGTGTGTGTGTGTGGTGGCCAAGTGTGACCAACACTGGAGCTTGAATCTTTCCTAAATAGGGGCAACAAACCTTGAGAGTAGATTAAGATATTTTACTTTTAAATTTTGCTGAATTTTTTTTTCAATAAGAAATGTGGCACTTAGAAGGCATCCACAGTGTCACAAACAAATGATTTTGGTGTGGTGGTTGGTGGTGGTGAGTGGGGGTGTTGGGGCATATCCAACTATGCTCGGGGGCTATTTTGACTCTGCTCAGGAGGCCATATGGGGTTCTGGAGACTCAAACTGAGGTTCGTAACATGCAAAGAAAGCACCTAAACCCATGTACTATCTCTGCCCACATAAACAAGTAATTTTAACAACCTTATTAACTTTTAAAAGAAAATAAAATTTTTATTAAAAAAATCTGTGTAATTCAGGGGCCAGAGAGATAGTACAGCAGAAAGGGCATTTGCACTGCATGAGGCTGACCTGGGTTTTATCCTTGGCACTACATATGATTCCCCAGAACCTCCAGGAGTGATCCCTGAGCACAGAGCCAGAAGTCCTGAGCACTTCCAAGTTTGACACCCCATTCCCAAAGTCCAAGTAACTCTAAGTTTCTACATGACATCTAAGGAGAAAAAATTTGTTTTCCTATTTAATCTTGGATTTGGAGAGATAGCTCAAAGGACAAGAGTGCATGCTTAGCATACATAGAACCCCAGGTTTGATTTCCAGTGCTGCATGGCATGGTAAAGTTTCTTTTACTTTATTAAAAAAATTAAATACACATTTGGTTCTTATATTCTTGGGAAAATTCTCTGGAGTTTCCCACTGTTCTAATTAAATAAAGGGTGAGGGAAGAGGTCCTACGTTGAGAGAGGAAGATTTTGATGATATCCTGGAAGAGGGAAACTCTGGGAAAAAGAAACACAACTTGCCTTTCTTGAAGATGACTTATGATCAACACAACTTCCTTGCTATCTACCATTTTAGGGCATCCTATTATTGCTATTGTTCCCTTTAAAGCTCAATGCTCAGTTTTATAGGTCAGGAACAGGGCAACCCCCAAAATATCCTAGTAAATTGCTATGTGCAATAAATAAGACACTATTTTTTTTGAAAAGCAAATTGAATTTTTGTGTTACTTCCAAGGAAGGCTCTCTTCCTGAAAGCATTTCTAAGAAACAATTGGTGAAAACTATATCCATGTATTTTGGGAACCAGAAATATGAACTCATGATATAATAATAGAACAGAATAAAAACTCTTCTATTTTTAAATATTATAATTATAGACCTTTCGGTAAATCACATATTCCCTGACATTTTTAATTTCCCTGAGTTATGGTCAGTCCTTTTGCCAAACTGAAACCCTAATGTTGGTCTTTACCTCTTTCAATGCTCATTGGAATGGCTCACAATAGCACTGTAGCACTGTCCTCCCATTGTTCATCGATTTGCTCGAGCGGGCTCACAGTATCTTGATTTTTTTTTCTCTGACCCAGTCTGTCCTTTCCTACTAACATGACTTCACTCTTGGTTGAAGCTCTTGTTATCTATTATCAGAGTATTGTCCAGGTTTCTATATTCAGCTACCTTTCTCTCAATCTATTCTTCATATTTATTTTAAAGCTCCTTTGTGCAAATGCTTTCATTGACTTCTAGAACAAACAGCATTGTAAGCTAGCCCTTCTATGATATAGTACTATCTAGGTCATGTGTTCTTCGGTATCATTTCTCCCGTACTTTCCCACCCAGTACCCCATATTATACTCTTATAGAACATCTTTCCTTTACTTTGAAAAACCTCCATTCTCACAAGGATGTGTGGGTGCTACAACTTCTGCTTAAAGGGTTTGTTCATCATCTGACAAATTCCTAGTCATATTTTCAGTCAGGAAAGTTATAACAAAAAGGAAAAATTAATAAAACTGGCTTAATAAAGTTGGATTAGGTATCCTTACTATTTACTGCCATAGTATTTACGTTTTAGTCTTTCAATTAGAGCATGTGTTCAAATTCCTTCGGTCACTTACTTTCCTAAGAAACTCTGATCTCTCTATGACACCAAGTGATATCTAGTTTATGATAGCAAGTGTAACTCAATAGTTTGGTCTGGCTTTCAGAATTCTCTCTGTTTAGATCTACTTATTCTGCTGTATTTTCAGTCTGTATTCTTCTTTAACCTTGGTCACTTCAAATATTCTGCCCATGCTAGAGAGACAGCTTAACGGGTTGGAGTGCATGCTTTGGAAGCCTGGTTCCATCCCAGGACTGCATAGTCCTCCAACCATTCCTGGGAGTAGCCCCGAAACATTAGAAAGTATGATTCAAATCCCTCCAAAGAAAACAAAGAATAAATATTCCACCTTCCTGATTTGTTGAACTTCCACCTATCTTTTCAAGTCCCTGCTTAACCCAGATGAAAGTTTGCTTGCGTATTGAGCTTCTAGTTTAACCACTCAATTAGATACTTACAAATTCTAAATTCTTTTGTTTTGGGCATAGTCATTTTCTAGGTAGGATTTCTCTCTTCCACAAGATGGATTAAGTCCTGAAGGGTAGAATCATATCATACTTTTTGATATTTCTCAGTATAGAAAATTATTCAGCTTCAAAAAATTGATACCATATTATACCAATAAAATAAAAGCTGACCAAATATAAAATGTAGACTTTAATTTTAAAAACACTAGAGAATAAGGAAGATTAATCACTATCTTCAATTATCCTTAACAGTAAAAAAAGTTTCTTTTACACAATACATTATGCTAAGATTATTTTACAGGATCTTTTCAAAATATGAAGGATCTAGCTGAGAAAATTACTTGATGTGAAATACAATCACATATTAGGCCAATAGAGATGGTTGCTTTACTACATGTTTCTACAATTTTAATGTCCTCAAACTATTCAGCTATGTTCCTCCTGGCTATGCTATTCAACCAATGTACCATTTCCCATTTTTACTTTTGAGTTAGTTTCTAATAACTAGAGCTTGAAAACTATAGTTAAAATATATATTATATATATGTGGTATAATCTCATCTTTGTCAATTCGTGGCTTTGGTAAAATATTTAACAAGCTAAAGGACAGTGGTATATATTTTGAAGAATTGTTTTGAAAATTATCAATAATATATATTAATTGAAACAGTGCCTGGCATATACTATGTTTGACTATTATTCTAACAGAAGCTAACTTATGAGGCCTGGGAATATATAATACTGAGTAATGGAGGTCATAGAAGATATAACATTTATATCTAGGGGGAATATTCTGGAAACATAATAACAATAATAATTTCTGGTGACCTTATAAAAATCAAGATACAATTACTGTTGTCATTAATATGATCTTTAATAAATGGAATAATGCACCATTTTACAGCAAGCCATTTTAAACCTAAAGAACTGTCTTAAAATCTCCTTCTCCAATGTCTCTTCTGTATCAATACAATCTTTTTTATTTAGGTTTATATATATCAAAGCATTTACTTACAATTATTGATAGAAAACTCTTTAGTGGCTTAATGTCAGCTTTCATAGTGGCATCCATAGATAATACAAAAGAAAAGTGATTTGCTTTATTTCATACTCACACTGATCCATCAAACACAACTTGTACAGCATAGCAAGGTCTCAGACAGCTTATACAAAAGCAAAATAACTGAAAGTAATTATTCATAAATTCATATATGATATCTATCTGTAGTGTAAGAGCAAAACACACCAACAAAAGATACCCGTTAACAAGAAAGAGGGTTCTGAGGGAACTGCCAATATTTTTCAGCTTTTCCTATTCCAGAAAAGCATCCTCAGAGAATACTCTGTAGCTCTGTTTCTCTTGTCCATTCAGAAAAAGCATGGCAGCTACACATCTTCATGTTTCAGCTACTACAACACCCTAAGAGTTAGTGTATTTTACAATTATCCACTTATTTTTATTGGAAAAATTATCAACAGAAAACTAAGAATGATTCCAGCTTATACAAACACTTATACAATATAATATCCATGGAAACATAACAAGACATACACAAACTGTTTAAATAAATAAATGTGACCAGAAAAAGGAAAGCCACAGAAGCCAAGCAATTCAATATTAAACCAGAACCTATTTTTTAATTGCATCTTTTAGCAATTTAGTTTTCTTTCCTGTTAAGCGTCTTTTAAAATGTTTCTTTATTTTATTTAAAAGGATTGATTGGTAATAAGGTAGAGAGCCTGAGACAAGAGACGGGTTACAAATAAATTCACTCCTAGTATTTGAAATATACTGCATACCAATTTGGAGCTTGAATTTACCTGTTTGAAAGAAAAATTCTATTTGGATCTGACAATGCAATAAATAGGTTACCATAGTTTACCTTCTCAGAACCATCAAAGCTCTTACAAACATATATTAGCTCACTTTTAGAAGACAGTATTATGTTTTACTACCTCAAGAAAATTATATCTCAGAGGAACTACTTTACTAAAATCTCCCATTAAAAACAAAACGAAATGAAATGATTTGTCCCATCATGTATAACTAATTAAGAAACAGAAATGGTTTGAAGGTGACGCTTCCAACACTAAGGCCTAAATATGCTGCAACATGTAGCCTGTTAGCTGAGTCATTTTCCCTCTATTCAGTAATTATAGAACTGGGCAAGACTTTATGATTAATGAAATGTGATGTACCTATGCAAATTAAACCAAATCATAAGGTAAAACATTAAATGAACCATGCGCCACAAAACACATTACTTATTTAACTATAACTGTTTGCTAACTATTGAAGTTTTTCAATGTTCAGTGTGCAAAAAAGATGAAGGGGCCCTGAGTTTTTAAGTAATTATTATGTCTGTAGCATGAATCTAAAACGTAAAAATGGTTCTGAAGTCAAAATGTACATGTAATGGGAAAAATCACAAGTTGCCTTTCAAAACATTTTTTAAAAATTGTAGTTTAAAGGTGGAGTTCATGCCCAATTCAATCAGCCTAATCAGTGACTGAATAAATAGCTGTACTTTACATAAAGTAAAAATAAAAATAAAAAATAAAAAATAAATTCTTGTTCTGTTACCTCTTCTCCTGGTTCCCGATTCCCCTGTCCAAAAAAAAAAAATCATAAACAGGAACACCCTAATTATGTGATTTGTTTCTAAAGATTCCTTCTCTCCTATCCAGATTTAATAATCTGGATTCTTAATTTTTAAAAAATGCTATAACATTTAACAGTGACACTACAAGTAGCACAGAAATAATTGACTAAAATTTTTAAGAATGGCTAATTTGGGGAATAATTTTAATATATAGCATACATTTTTTCTGAAGTATTTTATTTCAAGTGTATCAGTTATGAGATAAAATCATAAATTTTTCTTTATATGCACAAACACTTAACTTGAATCTGTCACTTAAAATTTAAATGAAAATTGGTACAGCCCTGCCTACATCGCAAAACTGTATTTCAAAAATGATTTGCAAAAAGGGCCATAGATATCTGATTATTGAAGGGTTTTCTGTTGAAAAAATATTTAATATAAGTAAAAGCACAAAAATGTGTGGCTCAATCATAAATGTTAAGCTCGCTGCATTATAGGTTAAATTTTTAATGGCAAAATGATACATAATTCTGTATGCATGGCTTTTTAGTTTTAACTAATGATAATATAAAATCATACAATACAAATTGATAGAAACTTTTAGGTGATACAAAATGTGAGTAATTTGCTGACAATCTCATGATCTGATCCATTGTTAAATGCTAATAACATCTTGGTTCTTAATTCAATCCTAGTAAGCTATTTACTTAACTGGCATAATGAATTTGAATATAACATAATATTAAGTATTTAAATATATAAATAATGAAAATAGTACTGAGAAGAAAATTCTAAGTGAACCAAAGCAATTTTGACTGAAGAACTGAGACTTAGATGTTAATAGAGAAAAAGCTCAAAGCATACTGAAGAACAAAAATGTTGGTGAGAAGGGTCAAGTGCTCTCTATTTTTACTAACTGGATAAGAGAAAGGAAAATAAAATGAAAGTTAAGGGAAGCAGAAATGATTAAAACTTGCCTGACTGAGAAGACTGCGAGTAAAATAATCAAGGGACAGAATAAGTCCAACACAAAGAAAGAAGAGACTGAAGAAAAGTAATATGTCTGTGCACCAAAACACCGTAAGATTTCCTAGGATTCTTTAATCTGGGAACCTGTAGAAAAGCCTTCTTTTGATAATAACATTAGTGTAACTAGCTAAAACAGTCATTTGCCGTATTTATTTAATAAAAGTATACGTAGGAGGGGAATCATGCAAGGTAACTTTGGCCAAAGTTTGCATAATTCAGAACTGTATAAGTTAAAATTCAATTTTATGTGCTAAAAGCAGACTAATAGTCAAATGTATGGGTACTTAGAAACATCCCAGTCTGAAAGACTCCTTTTAAACCATATATATGGAAGTGGTAATTTCTAGAATAACTAGTCTCAATAATCAACTAACATGTTTGTGCAGATGCTAGCTTTAAGATAGCCTCAAAGGTAAATTAATATATAAGATAATCTGTAAATAGTTATGTAATATCCAGCATATAAATGGTATTAAGTTCAACATAAATTTATAAAAGGTTGCATAGAAATACAATGCAATTTCAAATTCTAGCAGCTACTTCCAATAAAATATTTACTTTCATAAATATGAAAAGAGCAAAATTTATTGAAATATTTTTACCATCTTAAATTACTTCGACTAATGAGGCTTATAGAAAATAAAAATTTCAATAAATTTTTGCCTAACCAGGTATTCTATTTGGCTTTAGAAGTCAAACTTGTCAGTTTTTTTTTTTTTTGGAGGGGGGCCACACTTGATGATGCTCAAGTGTTACTCCTGGCTCTGCACTCAGGAGTCACTCCTGGCAGTGCTCAGGGGACCATATGGGATGCCGGATTGGCTCTAATTCAGGCCCTAAGGTAAGTGCCCTACCCCAGTACCATGATTCAGGCCCCATTATGTTAAATAAAAACAACTGCCAAATTCCGTAACAATTCCCACTGAATACTTGTGTGTTCCTACTTTTCTCTAATTACCTTCACATTAAGAACCAAATGGACACACATAGGAAGCTACACTAACTGCTTTATAAAGGGACAGTCTCCTGTTATCTTCTTACATCCTGCTCAACTAGTACTTTGTAATAGTACATCTTCTAAAGTTACTAAAAGTAAAAATTTTCAAGATGGATTAATACAATGAAAAGTCTTGTTAAATCTATTTCTCCAAATATAGTGTTAAATCAATTAAAGAAAAAACAGCTCAGTTCCCACAGGCTACCTTTACTTTCCTTTAAAATTTCCTTTATGTTCTACAATATAAGAACACCAAAAATAAGAGAAGTAAAATGATTTTATGGTGGACGTGAAATTAAAATTTTATCTTGAATCAGTAATTATTCCTTAAGCAACAATCAGCATAGAACAAGTCTACACATCTTAAGTTTGCCTAACTTCTAAAGTCATTAAGGTATCTGGTTAGGCTTAAATACAAGCCATAATTGTGCTGGAATATAATGACTAAATTTCTTACAGAATGTTAGTCCATTACATATCCTATCACACAGTGTGTAGGCAGTGTGGTGTAGATGAAAGAGATATGAAGAGAGGCAAAACAAGTTTAAAATTTCAGCTTGTCTATTACTAGATGTGAACTTTGGGTATATTAGATTCTCTTACCTTTGGTTTCCTCATCTGTAAAGTGGAAATATTAATTACAATCTTTATATGATTGCAAAGCAGATTAAAAAGGCAGACTGTGGACAGCCCAGTATTAAATATATAATAGATAGTCAATTAGTATTATTTCATTCCTGTGCTTTCCCAAAACTTTTTACTCTGGTGATATGCTCCCCCCCAATTATATATTTTAAAAGAAATATAATATTTTAGGAATTATAATTAATTTTTGATTAAACACAATTTTAATCAAGTTCTTTCAATGATTTAATACTGTTACATAATTAAAATAATTACGAGAATTAACATTAGACTTTGATAACCTATTATGATGTTTTTAAGAGGTTTTAATACTTTAGAGAAAAAGAATTTTTTTTTTATTAAATGGTTTTTAATTTAAAAGAATGCAATGTTTTTCTACATCCAAAATTTGGTAATAAATATTAGCTTTCAGACACACTTATCAAAAAATGAAACATTTCTCATTAGATAAATAAAGTTAGCAAATAAAATTTAAGTCACAGTAATTTTGCTTACTTGTATATTATAGATGCTAAAGTAAACCTGATGTACAATTTAAAATTTATTAAAATTATATACATTTTCTACTTCTACTTTTTCTAGAGTACACTAAAAAAATGGATAATTATTTGTTTTAAGCATGCTTCACAAAATGGACATTTAAAAAATTTAGCATGTAAGTTTTGCATTTTTTGATTACACATTTTAAAAAGTTGAAAAAATAATCAACTGGCCTGAAAACAAAGTGTAATAGGATGTAATATAATTCCTCTTTCTGCCAAGAAAAAATGAATTTTATCTCAAATGTTCATTTATTCTTCAGTGCTTCAAATTGGAGATGGAATATAATTTATTTGACCACCAATGTCTTACAAATGTTTAAAACAGTATCTTGAAATATAGTGGAAGACAAAAGCAAGAGAACTAAATAAAATTTGCTGGGAATGATAAAAGTAACTTGCCATAGAAAAGAAAAACAATGAAAAGGTTTTATGATAGAAGAATATTGATAGGGCTATGAATCAAGAGAAGGGTCAATAAAACAGAAAAGGTAGTAATCCTAGGCACTGGTCAATCTTCTAAAAATTTAAAACTGATTAGTAATTTAGCTGAGTAAAGTGTGGTTAACACCTAACTCAGAAATTCATAGAAGATGTCAAACAAAAGAAGGCTTATACACAAGTCAGTCACAAGCATATTGGACAGCAAATGAGGAATATGAAGCTTCTTTTAGTTAAACTATGAAAATAGAATAATATGGCTGAGAAAATATTATTTGAGATAAAAACCTAAATCAGAAATTTGGGTTTTCGCATATTTCTCTTAGTGCTATCATTGTTATTTGCAGATTGAGTGAAAATGTGTGACTTCTAAAAAGGTCCCTTATTTTAAAGAAAGTGCTTTATTTTAAAAAACAATGCAGAGGTTGTAGTTTTAAAACAGTTATTAATGGAAGAAGCAAAGAAGCTTTAAAAAGCACAATTTCAGGGATATATGTTATCACTGAAAGGTAAGATCTAATGTAAATAATAAAGGTTGCACACATATTAAAGAATATGTGAACAACTGGCAAGAGGAGACATTATGAAAATAGGATTAGTGAAGAAATATAGTTTTGAAAACAGACTTAAGTCTCAGTCTACTAAAAGGAAAAGGACTGGCAGCAATCCTTTCTCCAATGGGGATTTGGCATGCCGGATGAATGATTTTTCTACACAGTGTTTTAGGTCATGGGAAGAAGAATAATTTTCAGATAAGTTACCAGGTTTTGCTTGGAAAAGGAATAAAAAGATAGGTTCAAAACTATGAATTACTTTAGAAGTTTTTTTATTTTTTTAAATAGGCAATGTGTGGCCAGAGAAATAGTAAAGTGGGTAGGGCATTTGCCTTGCACATGGGTGACCTGGGTTTAATCCCTGGCATCCCATAAGGTCCCCTGATCCCTGCCAGGAGTGATTCCTGAGCACAGAGCTAGGAGTAACCTCTGAGCCCTGCCAGATGTGGCCCCAAAACAAAACAAAAAACCAAAGATGGCCCACTCAGCAAATGAAGGCTATAACACTTAAAAATTCCATATAAGTATACTACTATAAGTTTTTCAATAAAAAATGTGCTTCTTAAATAAATGAGTATGAACATGATCACACATACAAAAATAAAATAAAAATTAAAAAAGGCTATTATTCAATTTTCTCTGATTTGTTCTATGCTCTCTTATGAACTCTAAAACCAGAACTAAATGTAATTCTTAAAATGTTGGAAGAGGGACTGGGATGTATCTCAGTGGTAGAGCGCATGCCTTGCATGTATGAGGCCCTAGATATGATCACTGGCATAAAAAATGCCTGGAAGGAAATGTTTAGTATTTGGAAGGTAAGAAGAAATGGCATTTCAAATTAGGTTTTGTTCCTTCTTTTAGAGCCCTTTAAGACAGTGTTTCTGCATATCCCATAAGGAGAAAATAAGAAATCAGGTAGCTGCTTTCTCTTGTGCAAAATTCACTGTCACTGAACAGATCTACCAAAATATATGGGGGACAGGGGAAAAAATGTTTATATTATGGAAGAATGTATACTCTATTAGGAAGAGAGCTTACAAGAAAGTTTATTTCTGGCCTATAGACTATTGCACATTCAAACAAAACACAAGAAGAAGAATGTCCAACAGAGAGTATGTTCAGGAACGTATAAACTAGCTTGTGCCCAGAAATAAAACATGGATACCAGACACCATTGCAGTCAAAACTGTCTTAATTTGCTTCTGTTTTAATGACCTTTAGAAACTGGTCCAAACTGATTATCAGCATACAATGTTTTTTGCTTTTTATCTTAAAAAAATATTTTGAGACCACTTTTGATACACACACATATAATTCTGTGGTCATAACAGACAAATATAACTTTAGCAAGACTAAACAAAAGTGCAAAAACATAAAAAAATTAAAAAATATGGAAGCATAAGCTAAATTTTTCTGCATAGCTGAAATCTATTTAAAGCAAGTCCTTGTTGCAGGGATTGGAAGGGTACTGACAGGAGGAGAAGCAGTTTTAAAAATGTCTTCTGCACATTTAAATGATGCAAAAAATAATTTCACTTCAAAGGCTTGGAAACATTTCACAGACAGTTCATTCCTATATCTTTAGACACCATGGTTGTGGCAGTGCCTCCTTCTGCAAGGTAAACAGCGGTGCTGGATTTAGAATGAACTGCCCTGTCACTGCCATTGTTGTTGACCTCGCAGTCCAGTGGCTCAGTGGAGATGACCCAGGTGGAAGGACGCCATCGTTTAAGAGAATAGGGAGTTTTCACACGTTTTTTTATCTTTTCGCCAGATCCTGATTTGCCATCTTGTATGGACTCACCAACTGAAAGCAAAAGTACAGAAAAATAAATTTTATGTTAAAAAATACTCTTACAGAGTTGTAACTACATTACAGAAATCAATTTCAGAGATGGGTGCTAAAAAACATTCTTTGTAATTCATGATGCCAGGCAACATTTTGCTAGGCAAAATTTAACTGAGATTTCTGAGATTCTTTAAGCCCAATTATTCTCTAAGATAAGGAAGAAAAACTACATATAACACAAAAGTCAGAGTCAGAGGAAAAAAATTAAAATTATCACTTGTGTTCTTAAATGTTTGATTAATAGTGAAGAACTTAACCTGGCGGAATTCACTTAATGATTCTATTTGGTGATCAAAGTGGATCAAAAAATAAGGGTTTGTTTGTGTTTTGGGTTTTATTTGGGGGCCACACCCAGTAATACTCAGGACTTACTCCTAGCTCTGGGCTCAAGGATCACTCCTGGAGAAGCTCAGGGAATGCCCTGAGCTATGTGGTGTTGGAGACAACCCAGGTTGGCTGCGTGCAAGGCAAGCACCATCCCTATTGTACTATATCTCTCAGGCCCCAAAGTAGATCAAATTTTAACAGCATTGATATAGTATTTTTCAGAAGGACACACAAATGTTAAAGTACAAATTTGCCAGTGACTCCTCCTTTCCATATCTGAAAAGATTTTTATGAAACATATGCCATATGAATGCCCATTAAGTTCAAAAGGTTAACACCTTACCCACCATACTATATCTCTCTGGCCCCAGACAGATTTTTTGAAAGCTGAATCCTTTTATTCAATTTTGTAGTCCTGGATAACACCTATTACAAGAATTTTTTTTAAATTAATGTTATCTGTCTAAAATAGAAACAATTTGTATAATGATGACTGTTAGAGACTTTTAGTGAGCTTTCTCCCTTCTTTTTTCTTTGTGGGGGAGGGGAGTGTTTGGGTCACCAGTGGCGATGCTTAGAGGTTACTCCTGGCTCTACACTCAGGAATCATTCCTGGGAGGCTTGGAGAAACATGTGGGATGATAGGGATTAAAACCTGGGTTGGTTATGTGCAAGACAACATCCTACCTACTGTACTATCTCTAGGGCCCTTCTACTTTTTCTTGTGTTATAAACTAAAGAGTACAAGAACCCAAGAATCAAGCTACTTAAATACTGTGGGGTCCATGGTACACTATAGAAGACCTTTGAAAAAGGTAACATCAAAGAGCTGAGAACTTTACAGTTTCTTCGTAGTGACTCTTTTGGGGGGTGGGAGGTGTACATACCAGTGCTCAGGGGACCACATGTGGTGCAGGAGATTTAAATGGGGCTGAGGTATGCAGGATAAATACATTATTTGCTTGTACTACCTCTCTGGTCCCACCTCTGAGCTTTTAAGATTTCTTAAGAGTTTAAGAATACTCCGATAAAATCTAAATGTGTATATAAAAATATTAAAATGCTGAACAAACTGTTTATCATTTTACTTAGTCTTTTTAAATTTGAAATAAGGATAACATCGTGTGTATGTGTGTGTGTGGGGGGGAGGGTGAGTAAAAAGGGGAAGCAGGGTTGGAGCTGCAGGGCTAATGGACCAGGAGACAATTCAGTGCTCATGCTGGTGCTTCCTACGGGTGCTACTAGGCTGAGGGGAAACTAGGAGCATACACAGTTGTTGGAGGGTAGGATGGGACGTGTGATACCGAGGATCAGTCTCAGGGTGTCACACATGCTAGGCTTTGCTCTACCTTATCTTCCTAGTTCCTACTTAGAGCTCTTAAATTGATATTTACTTAACCATCACATAAAGTTTGTGAATTGTATTATAAATCTGCAGCAATGCCAGGCACATATTATATACGTAATTAACTACTATGACACTGACTTTAGTTAGCTACAAGAAAAAAAATTATTTTTTTCTTTGGAATAGTCTAATTAAGATCAAAATGAATGGTTTACATTCATAAGTGATAACATTATATAATTACTAGTTGAAACACAATCTGACTCTAAGCAGTAACTTTAACTGACCCAAAAGACAAGAAGAGATGACAAATTTCCCCACTTACACTGCATACTGCTGCCTTCTAGGACATTTGTGGCTGAAAGATCCAGAGAATTAGGCCTCTGTGCTCTTCTGGGCTTTGATGGTACAGGATCTGCTACTGTGCTTGGAATACCCTGTGTAAGAACATCTTGCTCTGAACATGGATTACTGTTGTTGTTATTGGAATTAGTTCGGCCACCTTCCAGTGGCCGTTCTCTCCTGTCCACAAGACGATCCAGAACAGCTTCATCATGGCCAGCCTGCTGTTCTCGTCTCAGTAAAGGTTCATGTTCATCAGGGCTGGAATTAATATTGAGTCGGGTATCCTCACCAATGAATTGATTCTGCAGCATTTCTTGAGATCTATGTGCCACTGTGTTGGCTGTCTGGCCAGTTGGTACTGCCCCATTGGCATATTGGGTAGTGGCAGCAATGGAGTTAACATTGTGGTTTCTACCTGCTACACCATTCATGGTGACTGTCACCACATGAGGTTCTGCAGCATTGATTGTATTCATCTTGGCAACTCCAGTTTCTACTTGTTTCAAGTTTGATTTGTGCTTGCTGCCAAATTTCAACCGGGGCTCCTTTGTTGAATTTTTGGTGTTTAAAGGCAAACTAGTAGGTCTCTTAGGAAGGTTTTGCTGTTTGGGAAGAGGATAGATCTGAGCAGGTGGTACATCAGGAATTAAACATGCTTGACAATTTGCAGCATGTGTGAAATCCTGCTGTCCAGTTGCTTCTACTGCAAGTTTTATGAGTGGATAAAGCAAGCTAGAACTGGTACTGCTTAGGGGGTCTGGCCCACTGAACTGCTTAAGAGAATGCTCCATAAGATTCTCATCAGAGCTTTCCTTGAGGTTCTTATCAACTTCTTTTGGATCCAGCTTGTTAGTCTCCAAATCTTCTTCTGTCAATTGTAAGCAGACAGGGGTTGGCCCTATTGGCTGTGAAATATTTGCAGCATGGAGATTTGTTTCATCTGGATACGGCATCTCAGATATAGTGGTCATGCCAGTGCTTGGAGTGAGACCAGTGGTGTTTGTGGTTGTTGTATTAGTGGACAGGCTGGTGACACTTGTTTCAGGGCTAGGGATTCGAGCTTGTGCTTGCTGCCGTTCATAGTTAATGGAATTTCGGTTCTTTTCCCCTATAGTCAAAGGTGTGCTGGACATAGAATGCTCAGAGGAAATATTCTTCACAATGCTGTCAGTGTGATGGATAGAGTCTTCAATGTATGAGGAAGAAGAATAATCTGGATAAGGTCCAATCTTTGGCACACGCCTATTGTGTGACAGATTGCTTAAAGATAGAAAAAAGGCATCACAGTAAGGATATACATTTATAATGAATCAACTCTCCAAGTATAACACACATTATTTTAAAATCTGAAATGTTTTTGTTGATGTTGTGGGAGCCATATTTGTCAGTGCCTGGGGCTACCAGGGCAATACCTATCAATGCTAGGGTGAGAAGCAGGAATGACACCAAACCCAGCAGGGCCTCACACATGCAAATCGTGTGCTCTAAGCTACATTGCTAATCCCTAAATACTCTCTTTTATTCCTTTATTCTAGAGGTAATTTAAAATTTTAATTAAAAAATTTATTTTAAAGTAATCAGTATCAATAACTTGACAAATGATAGTTTCACATGAGTTAAAGCTACTGGAAAGTTTATATGATACTTGGCCCAGATGAAAGGGACTGACAGTTTAGTGCTCAGGAAGGTGACGTGGTGTTGCCTGGCACTGAAGTGCTAGGGGCCACAAGAGTCAACCTAGCAGTGCTTCAGAGTCACCAGAGTCATACCCAGCTGTGCTGGAGTAGGGGCACGTAGTTCTGAGGACTAAATACATAATCCGGAGTGTGCAAAACATGCACTCCAACCTTTGAACTATTTCTCCAATCCTTTGATATAATTTTAATACTTATGCTATCATATTTATAAGACTAATTATTAACTTAAAAACCTCTCATGTAGTTTATGATATCACTGAACTTGAATATATACTTTGCATGCTAACATCCTTGGTCTGATCCCTGGCAGAACATGGTTACCTAAAAACTGCCAGAAGCTACTTCCAACCACTAGGCTGGGATTAGATACTGTGTACCTCCAGGTATGGCCCCCAAACAAACAAACAAAAATTGAAGAACTACTAAAAATATCTTTGTGACAAATTTGTGGATGGACATCTTATCCTAAAACATGAAACAAGGAAATGTAAATGAGAGCCTGGAAGTTCCCAAATTTTAAGACATTTATTTGATTTTGGTCCAAACCTGGCTGTAATTAGGACTTACTGTTGGCTCTGTACTCAGGAATCAATCCTTGCAAGGCTCAGGGACCATATGGGCTACTGGGAATTAAACCTGGGTTGGCAGTATGCAAGACAAGTATGCTACTCTCTATATTATCTCTTTTGCCCTTCAAATATTTTAAGTCCTTAAATTAAAAAAAAGTCCTTTTATTTAGAACCCCAAATTGATTTTCAACAAATAAGTGTCTCAAAAAACAAAGTACATATGAGATGGAAAGACTATTTGAATCGCTTTCTATTTTTGAGAGGAGTGTGGGAAGAACCACACCTAGTGTTGCTCAGGCTGGTTTGTGCCCAGGGGTCACACTTGGCAGTGCTCAGGGAAGCACCTATGGTGCTGGAGATTGAACTGAAGTTGACTGCATGCAAGGTAACCTCGCTGGCCCATGAACTGCTTTTTTATGAAAGTAGTAGTAGTAGTAGTATATCCTGTAAGAAAGAGCACTGGATCACAAGCATGAAAACTTCAGCGTCTAATAAAACACTTGCCTCCACACAAGTCCACAGTTACATTTCCTTTAAAAGCAACATCAGTAGGGACCAGAGTGATAGGACAGTGGGTAGGCATTTGGCTTGCATTTAGCTGACCTGGGTTCAATCCCCAGCATCCTATAGGGTCCCTGAACCCTGTCAGAAGTATCCCTGTGCACAGAGCCAGAAATAAGTCCTAGGCACTTCTGTGTGTGACCCCAAACCCCAAAACAAAAAACCCACCCCCAAACAAAAAACAACATTAGTAGCAGCAGTGGGGGGTGGGGGTGTAGGGATAATGATAATAATAATGACAACAAAGTGCAAGTATTTAAAGCTTCTGGAATTATGAAAATATAAAATACTTTTATAATTGTAGGGAAATGGAAACATTTATTAAGAAAAACTAATCTCATTACTATGTCTCTAAACATTACAAAATGAGATGCCATCTTATACTTTTACCACACAGACATCTTCAGTAAGAGTGGGAATATTTAAGAAAAATTATCACTGGATTGTTGATATTAATCACTGTACTATTAGGCTGATTTAAGAGTACTTCTTTCCTGTTCTCTATTGGGTCAATCTTCAATATTGACTGATAGATGCCAAGCCCCTAGAGTCTTACCGTTCATTCTGCATAGCAGTTGACATTGGATTGACTGTGGGGCTCACAGACTTGTTTCTTTCCCATATCATCATCAGTTCAGCCATCCTTTCCTCAGCACACTGTGCAGTAAGCCGAGCCTCTGCATCCTGATCCCAACAGTCTTCGATTGTCTCCTTGAGCGACCTCACTGCCTGTAATAAAGTACATGCAAAATAGTGTAAATTTTTATTTAAAAAATTTTTTTTGGTTTTGTTTTCGGGTCATACTCAGCTCTGCTCAGGGCTTACTCTCCTGGTTCTGGTTCCGCACTGAGGGATCACTCGTGACAGGCTCAGGGAATCACCTGGGGTGCCTGGGATTGAACCCAGATCAGCCAGGTGCAAGCAAAGTACCTAACCTACTTTACTATCTCTTCAGCCCTGTAACTCCTTAAAAAACAGTATTTAACTGATCAGAGGAGAAAAATCAGTATTTCCATAACGCCTATAAAGCATTGTAGATTTTGGAGATTAGTAATGGGGTTTTCAAAAAGTGAAGAACAAGTAAATAAGCACAGTTAACTCCTTGAAAAATTATTCATGAGAACAAGCAACTTTAATACTTACATGATATATATCCCAGTTGACCGACAGTGCTGATATTTCAATCAATAACCACAAATTCCAGCTCAAAAATAAGCATTAATTATTTTGTTTGGTTTTGTATTATACCTGGAAGTGCTCAGGGTCTACTTCTGGTTCTGTGCTCAGAGATCACTCCTGGAAGGGCTCAGGGGACCTTATGCAGCACCAGATATGGAACCCAGGTTGGACATGTGCAAGAAAATTTGCCTACCACTATACTATCTCTCCAGCTCCTCAAAGTATTAATTTTGATGGAATTTTAGTCCCAGATGACCTTTAATTTTTAGGTTTTTTTTCTTACTGCCATTGATAAGTGTTTCATTTCCAACTATAAAACATGAGGAGTTGGGAAGACAATACAGCAGGTAGGAAACTTGTTTTGCATGTGGCCAGGTCAACCTAGCTTTGATCCCCAGCATCCCTTATGGACCTTGAGTAGTGCTATGAATGAGTACAGAGCCAGGAGTAAGTCCTGAGCACTGCCAGGTATGGGTACCATTCTCCCACAAAAAGAATGACCAATTATAACACTCTTGAGATTTGGAACTTTCTTTCCTAAAAAAAAATTGAGTAGTTTAAAGTAGTATTATCTTTATTAAGAAAAAATTATTTTTAAAAATTGAATCAGTAAGGTACACAGTTACAAAGTTGTTCATAATTGGGTTTCAGTATATAATGTTCCAGTGTCATTATGTTATCACTCGTCCATCTCTTCATTTCCTCTCCTGCTTCTTCCTTGGCATTCTTACTTCTATAATCAAGGGGTTGCCATCATGTGATACCTTAAAATGCCTTTCAACTGAGAAATTAGATCTATTTTAAAATAAGCAAATATGAATCGGGGGGGTTCCCAATCTCGGGGTGCACAGGGATCATTCCCAGTGAAATTTATCCCAATGACACAGGCCAGGCAGTTCTGCTTGAGTCCAGTTCATGAGGGGCTGTTCAGTCACTCCCTTCTGGCCTGAATAGTTTCCGCAGACAAATCTGATAGTATAATGTAGGATCCCTTATAAGTGACTATGTATTTTGATTCCATCTTTAAGAACTGTTTATCTTAATTTTTGCCATTTTAATTATAAGGTGTCTTCATGTACACCTACTTGGGTTTGTTTTGTTTGGAACTCTTCCTTGATTTGGGTGTCTAGTTCCTTTCTCCGCTTGAGGAAATTCTTGGTTATTATTTCTTCAAATAAAAATTCTTCATCACCACTACACCCTCCCACTCCTACGACCACACACCTCTCTTTTCCTTCTAGAATTATTAATGGTGTTTGTTACTCTTGATGCAGCTACTATATTATCTTCTACATTTTTATTTATTACTTCTTTTGCTAGTCTTTTTTTCCCTGACTTCCACTATTTTTATCATGAGCTCAGTGATTTGATTTTCTGCTTCCATCCTGCTGTTTGAGACTCAACTATTGGAATTTTTAGTTCCATGATTTCTGTGTGGACTTCTCAAACAAAAAATTCCCTGGAAAAAGAGATAATACAGGGGGATATTATCAACTACATACACTTGCCTTGCATGTAGCTGACCCTATCTGATCACCAGCGCCATATATGGTCCTCTATGCACTGGCAAGAGTGATACTCAAACATAGAGCGAAGAGTAAGCCCTGAGAACTGCTAAGTGTGGCTCACACTTCCCATGATTTCTCCCTCAAATTTTCACTTTGTTAAAACTCTGTTCCCTTGATCTCATTTTAGTAGGCATCATGAGAACTCTTGCATTAAAGTGTTCTTCAGGGAAGTTTTTAATAGTATAGTTCTTTCCAGGACATAGTCTTATCTTGATGTATCTGTGTGGGTGTGTTCCTCCATTTCCCTATTATGTGTGGTGCTCCATAAGTATCTGTGGTCAGGTAGGCATAGGTGGCAACCAGAGAATTCAGAGTCAGAGGTGCCTAACCTTGGTTATGGGATCAAATGTGAACAGTCTTGTGCAATGACCATGAGGCTGTGGTTGCGAGTGGCTGGGATTGGCTGTAGCTTCTAAGTGAAGTATGCCTGGGGGAAACCTGGGGATTCTCAATTTCAAGTTCCAGGACACTTTTGTGCCACTAAAGTTAACTGAGTCCGAGCAGTGATTAAAGGTTGAAAATTTGAATGCCAGGGGCATGTATGAGTCAAATTCAAGAGAGCTTGGGTAGTGAACGGGGTTTCAAGTGCTCGTCAGTGTCATTTGGCTGCCACAGTTATGAGAACTTGAGTGTCTGGAGAACCTATGCCAAGATAAGTTAGAGTGTGCAATGTGGAGCTGATTGTGTGCTGACAAGAAAGCAGAGAACACGGTTCCCCTTGCCAACTCCTTCCTTCTTTCCCTCCCTCCCTCTCTCCCTCCCTCCTTCTTTCCTTCTGTTCTGGCACATCTGGCTGTGTTCAGGACTTAATCTTGGCTCTGGCAAGTTTGGAGAACCATATGGTGTGCTAGGGATTGATCTTGGGTCAGCTGCATTCAAGGCAAGCACCTTAATCAAGGCAAGCACCTTAATCTCTGTATTATTTCTCTGGGTCTTGGTTATTATTCTGAAGACTGGCATGTGGTTTCTGTTTGAAAGGGTCTGACTTGCTTACTAGTATCCACTGCAGATTCGCAGGGGCTATGTTTGTTTGTTTGCCAGGAGTAAGCACTTTACATAATTGTCTCTCAGTCCCCAGCCAATTGAGTTCTCAGGAATTTTCCCCAGAGGGTCTATTATTAAGGAGAATAAAATCTAAAAAGGTAGTCACCACCACTGCTATCAGCAAGGTAGAGGGAGGTTCTTAATATGATGCCTATCACTTGCCTTTCATGTGAGAGGCCCTGGGTTTGATCCTTGTCATTTAAAAAAAGGGGAGAGGGAAGACAGCACCTGCCAATGACTGTGACCCTATTTAAATAAAGTACCGTATAGTTTCTTGCCTCCTACTCTAGTGTTTAAGTCTAGAATCAAATAATTGGAGTTCCAAAAGTTTGATGCAACCCTACTCTACCATGTGCCCCCCAGGATAAAGTTAGTGATAAACCTTTCCCCATAGTGGAATTCTTTCTTGACAAGAGTATATCCCCACTTCACCCAGGTGTGCTTCTTTGTCTACTGCGGTGAAAGCTTGCTCATCAGGGTTTCAGGCTGTTTTTTATGTAAATTAATCCAACTCTGGTATAGATCTTCTATGATTATGAGAGGAGGTAAACACAAGTCCCCCACCTGACTACCTTAGCCCTGGTCCCAACCTTTATTTATTTGTTTGTTTGTTTATTTATTTATCTTTAAAATTTTTATTAGTGAAACACCATGAGGTAAAGTTGTAGACTTACAAATTTTTGTGCTTGAGTTTTAGTTATACAATAATCGAGTACCCATCCCTCCACCAATGCCCATTCTCCACCACCACTGATCCCAGTACCCCTTCCACCCTCCCATCCCCACCCATCCCACCCTACCTCTATGGCAGGGCATTCCCTTTTGTTCTCTCTCTCCTTTTGGGTGCTGTACAACCTTTATTTTTTTAAGTTAAAAATTATTGGCTAGACCAGACCCTAGATCCAAATTCTTTGGACTGTAGCCATGTATGCAGCTACAAGACACCTTCTAATTCCTCAGTACTGAAATTCCAGTAGACACCAACAGGAGCATACCAAATTAGGTGGGAAAGTTAAAACAGAAGTAAACTCAACAAACAAAACAATAGCACAGACGGCTCAACAAGCAATAAACAGCTTAATAAATTTTTAGGCAAAGACAACCCAGTGATGAGAGGTAACAATTTTTCACACAAGATTTTTCTTTTTATACTTATTGATTTTAATATTGGAGCTTTGCCATTTGATCAATTCAAATCTAGAATTTTTTAATTGTATCAACAGTTGTGGTTTTTGTCTACATTAAAATAAACAAAATGATTACTGGCTAGATGCTTTATAGACTAATTTTTAATTTGATATTTTCTCATCCAAGGTATGGGGTTTTGGAAGAAAATTGCAGAAGAGATGCTGTGTTCTTACTGCATCTTCTCATATGGTGTTCAATTCTGATTTGTCCCATTATGAGTGAAGTTAACCTTGAACACATGATTGAGTTGATGTCTCCCAAGTTTCTTTACTATAAAATTCCATTTCCCCCTTTATATTCAATGAATATCTTTTCTATTACAATCTGTGTTTGGGGGAAATTACTCTTAGCCTCTGTAAATATCCTGTTTTGCAATCACCTTTCACTCACTGGTTTTAGTATCTTTCAATGTTTCCTTTTTTCTGTATATTTGGGGGGACAGATTTTGGGGCCACACCTGGCAAGCTCAGGGCTTACTTCTGGCTCTGCACTCAGGATCACTCCTGATGGTACTCAGGGAACAAAAAGGGTTCTTTAAATATGAGTCAGCCACCTGCAAGGCACACCTTACCCACTATACAATTTAACTGGTCCCTCTTTTGATGCTTCTTGGCTGATTTAATAGTATCTATGATGTCTGTCAATACTATTAAGTTTTCAAAAATAGTAAATAGGGGCCAAAGTGATAGTACAGCCGGGAGGGCGTTTGCCTTGCACACGGCCAACCTGGGTTTGATCCCGGGCATCTTA